TCATCTTCATCTCGGGAGGCTTTTTCAGTTCATTCATAACAATTTGCTTTTGTATAATGTTATTATTATTAGCAGTATTATTTATTATATCCATATTTATATTTGTTTTATTAAAAACAAGCTTAGATTTGCCCACCTGTCAGGTTTTAGACCATATGGGGCACAGCATGTGTTTTAGGATATAACTCAGGTTTTTCAACACACTTCGTTATTATTGTTCATTTATTTGTTTGCTGGAAATTAGAACTGAATTTAGAAATAGTTTTGAAACAAATATTTGGGCTTTACAAACAAAATTAATTATTCATAGGCTAATTGATTTCTGTGAGTAAAGAGCGAAAGTGAAAGTAGATCATTTATGTCTCATTCTCGTGCAGTAGATGCTGTTTAACTGTTGAGAGGCCTTATCTCTCATTCTTGCGTTGTTTAACTGTTTTCTTGCTAGTGAAATGCTCAGTTTTTCCACTTACACTTACTTTAAGTCATGTAAATAACAAATGCGCTTATGGCGCGACGCAGCTGGCTCTTAAAGGGAATGAGAGATGAGACTCTAATTGGTTTAATGCAGGTTATTCTCAAAACACACCTATAACTCATTAAAAAAATAAACTCAACCCTTTTAGATCATGCGCCACGGCGCAAAGCGGATTTTCCCATCCTTATATTAGTAAAAATGCATTTTGACACGCCCTGAAAGTGTTTGTACCTTGCGTTTTGCGCATGGACTGTCAAAATAGAGCCCAAAGACATACAACATAAATTGCACATGAATATATTTAAAATACTATCCCATAAACAATTAAAAAGATAAGAGCAAACACATAAAGCTTAAAATGTAACAACAAAGTTTTAAAAAACAAAAGACAAGGACTCTAGTCTCCCATGCCAAACTCTCCCTGCTGGTCTCTGCATGTCTTTTTACTGGAACTCATAGATATACATACTGTACATTCTGACTGAGAAAAGGTGTTTTGTACGGTGTGAGCGGTTCAGGACTGAAGTAAGAAGAGACTAGATGTGCAGCTCTAGCGTAAACATGAGACAGCATTTCAGTCACACAGCCCACTTCCCTCCTCCAGGCCAGAACATCTTGTCATAGATCTGGTTGTGACTAACATTTACATAACTTTGTATCTGGTAAAACATATCTGAGTCTTCTTGGCTTCCATTCAATTCATAGAAATGTGTATATACGGTTGAAGTCAGAATTATAATTATTAGCCCTTCTGTATATTTTGTTTCCCAATTTCTGTTTAATGGAAAGAAAACACATTTTTTTTAACACAATAGTTTTAATAACTCATCTCTAATAACTGATTTATTTTATATTTGCAATGATGACAGTACATCATATTTTAGCTGATATTTTTCAAGACACTTCTATACAGCTTAAAGTGAGATTTAAAGGCTTAACTAGGTTAATTAGGTTAATTAGGCAGGTTAGGGTAATTAGGAAAGTTATTGAATGATGTTTTTTTTTCTGTAGACTATCCAAAAAAATATAGCTTAAGGTGGCTAATAATATTGACCTTAAAATGGTGTTTAAAAATGTTTCTTCTTTTATTCTAGCCAAAATAAAACAAACAAGACTTTCTCCAGAAGAAAAAAAATTATATAAGAAAACTGTAAAAATTTCCTCGCTTTGTTAAAAATAATTTGGGAAACATTTCTAAAAGAAAATTCACAAGAGGGTTAATCATTTCGACTTAAACTGTATGTCTAAATTAGGCAGAACTGTGAACTTCCATGGATGATAATCACATTTGTGGAGGTGAAATGCTTTGACCACATGACTATACATGGGTTGTGGACATGACACTGCATTTTCACTGTCGCATGTGTCAGAAATTCATATAATTAGCGTTGTCATCATTTAAAAGGCATTAAACGGTTCAATATAAATTCATATTCCATGGACATGTTATTAAGATGCTGCTACTAAAATAGCCAAATCTATGGTTAGATCGGTTTAAGCATAGTTTAATACATTTCAGCTCTTAAAATTAAAATAAAAATCATTCATTTCCTTGTCGGCTTAGTCCCTTTATTACTCCAGGGTTGCCACAGTGGAATGAACCACCAACTTATCCAGCGAGTCTTTACGCAGCGGATGCCCTTCCAGCCGCAACCCATCTCTGGGGAAACACCCATCCACACACATTCATACACACACTCTTACACTACGGACAATTTAGCCAACCCAATTCACCTGTACTGCATGTCTTTGGACTGTGGGGGAAACCGGGAGCACCCGGAGGAAACCCACGCGAAGGCAGGGAGAACATGCAAACTCCACACAGAAACGCCAACTGAGCCGAGGTTCGAACCAGCGACCCAGCGACCTTCTTGCTGTGAGGCGGCAGCACTACCTACTGCGCCACTGCCTCGCCAATAAAAATCGTTAAATCATTATTAAATACCTGAGGCCAAAAAACACTATAAAATGTAACTATGTAAAATGGCATAAAATAAAATGACAAAATAAAATAACATTTAAATAAATTAAAACACTGAAAAATAATGAATAAGCTGAAGGAAAGTGAGTGAAAATAAACATTTCAGTGAAATATTACCATTTTATATGGCAAAGGTCCTTTTATTTATGTTTTTATTTAGAGGTTTAGTATAGATTATTTTTGTGACCATTTAACTGTTTTGCTTTTAACTGTTTTTGTCACATTATTTCTTAAAACAAGACAATATGCTTTGCTTGTATTGAGAATGCTTCTTGATTTAAGAATTTTTAGATATTTGGACTCGAAACAAGGCAAAATCTCCAATTAAAAAAATTTTTTTTTGCATTAATAAAGATCCGTTGAACTTGATCAGCCATTTCAAGTTTAGTTCAATCCACTCAATTCAATATCTAATATGATTATCCCTTATCTTAAGAAGTAATATGTCAAAATAATCTTGTTTTTCCTTTTGATGCAGGATTGTTTTGCTGACCCCATTGGCAGATTATTTTGCATATTTTAAGGAAAAACAAGACAAACATTTTTGCTTTTTGCTAAAAAAAATGCTTTTTGATTTAAGAATATTTAGATATCTGGACTAGAAACAAGACAAAATCTCTAAGAATTTTTTTTTTCACTATTAAAGTTTTGTTTAACTTGATCAGCCTATCCAAGTTTAGTTGGATCTACTCAAATTAATATATAACATGATTATCCCTTGTTTCAGGAAGTAATACATCAAACTGGAGTCAGTTTATTCTTAAAACAAGCAAAACAATTGTATTTTTCCTTTTGACAAAAAAAAAATGCTTGCCCCATTGGCACCTTATTTAGCTTGTGTTAAGAAAAAGTCACTTAATTTTAACATATAACTTCATAAAACAAGCCAACATGTTTTACTTGTCTAGAAAATGCTTCTTAATTTAAGAACGTAAAGATATTTGGAGTAGAAACAAGAAAAAATCTCTAAGAAAAGCATTTTGTGCACTATTACAATCGATTTAAATTGATCAGTCTAGCCAAGTTTAGTTTGATCAACTCAATTTACTATGTAACATGATTATCTCTTATTTTAAGAAGTAATACATCAAAATGAAGTGACTTTATCCTTAAAACAAGCTAAATTATAGTATTTTTCCTTTTGACAAAATAACAATTTTGCTTACACCATTGGCACATTATTTAGCTTGTTTTAAGGAAAAACTCACTTCATTCTGACATATTATGCCTTAAAACAAGACAATATGTTTTACTTGTCTAGAAAATGCTATTTTTATTTTTATTTTTAGACATTTGGACTAGAAACAGGACAAAATATCCAAGTAAGAAAATCATTTTTTGCACTATTAAATATCCATTTAAAGGTGCAATATGTAAGTTTGACACCCAGTGGTTGAACTAGGTATTGCACGCCTGATTCGAAGCAAATGCAAGCGCAGGTTGCCAGATTGATGACATCGGAAAAAGTGTGCCTAACCATCAAACCTAAAGGCTGATTTAAGGCTGATTTAAACCGTTTTCTAAATAAAAGCAATGGCACGTGATAGAAGGAATATTTTCTATACTAAAAAAAGTTTTTGTCCAAACCAACACCTGGAATTTATATTTTAGAAACGGCTTCTATTTCTTGCAACAGGATAAACTAACAGTGATCATCTCAGAAACACCTCATGTGCTTTATTCAGTTTTAAGTGCTAATAATGTGAGTCTGAACGCCTTTTTACATGACATTTATTACCATACCACTGAAAGCAGCAGCAGATAGTTCACCTCTGTGGTCCAGCGCAAGCCAACACATATCAGTGATTCAGGATGTACTTTTTAGAATATTAAAGAGGTTTAATTTGCATTAATTCGATTATAAACCTCACCATTTCGTTGGAGTGCAGTAAGTGCACTATTCAGTGCTTCTGAAAGGCTTTGTTTAAATTTCTGTCGTGTTTCGTCTGGTGCAAACAGACCAATTTCTTATCACTTCAAATCTTCTCACATGTTGTCAGGACACGGGGGTTACAATATACAACCTTCTCTCCTTACATAACGTTTGTATATTTATGTTATTAGCTAATTAATAACCACTTCAAAAGTTCATGTGGAACTCTGAATCTGCGTCACATTTATGAGTCTGCTACTGTCCACCAGAGGTCACATTGGGTCACGGACGCACACTTTAAGAGCCTTCCTGACTGAATGATTGAAATACGCTGTTTTCTACCAAAGCAACCCGGGGTGCCTGGCATCGGGCAGGTTGAATGACCAAAACAAAGACCGATGTTCGGGCATGTAAAGCATATTTTCAAAGCAGAATATCTGAATTAGGCATTGTTTTTTAGATAAACAAGAATGTTCACTTAGCATATTTCTTAAATATCTGCAAACATATTAAGGTATTTTCTATGCTTTAGCAGAGTCAAACACTTACATACAGCACCTTTAACTTGATCAGCCTATCCAAGTTAAGTTCAATCCTCTCAGTTGAATATGTAACACGATTATCCCTTACCATTTAGTTTCCCGATCCATTTCGGCCTTTTCTCTTTGGGCAGGTAGACGCACAGGTAATAAACAGGCACTCCGGACAGTGCGATGGCGATTCCTATGAGAGAGTTGATGGTGTCGCTGTACAGGGGAACGATCACCAGGAACACGCTGCACAGGCAGTAGACGAATGGGAAAAACAAGCTGAGCTGATGGAGGAAAAAGAAACATGTAAGAATGGCAGATGGTTTGGATTCTAACAAATTAGCAGATATGAATACAGACCCTTTTCACAAAACTGGTATTATGCGTTTAAAGGTCATCAGCATTTTAAATCCTTGAAAGTTTTTAATAAAAAAAAACAACAACATATGAGCATTCATATGTATTTACCAGTGTTGGGGAGGTTACTCTGGAAATGTAATAGATTACAGATTACAAATGACCCTATTTAAAATGTGATAAGTTACACTACTTTTCGATTACTTTATAAAAGTAAAGTAACAAATTACATTTGATTACTTTTTGATTACTTTTAAGTTTTTAATGTACATTTTCAACTAAATCATTTTCAAGCATTTATACCGAGGACATGTTCCCTCCGGGATTTATGCCTGTGGGTGCGCCGCAAATCAAAAGCATCAGAATAGCATCGCTTTAATAAATGGCCTTAGCGAAAGGCCTCGTGCATATCAAAAACAGACAAAGCAACAGATAAATATTCAACATATCCCAGAATTTGAAAGAAAAATTTTAGATGTAAGATTTACATTTGTATTCTTAAATTTCATTTGTAAATTTAGATTTACATTTGTAATCGTAAACATTTTCACAAGTAACTGTAATTTAACATTGTTTCTCAGTAACTGTAACGAATTACTGTTACTTTTATTTTGTAATTAAATTACATAACGCCGTTACATGTCACTAGTTACTCCCCAACACTGGTATTTACGTATGTATTAAATCATTCTTGCACCAAATTACAAAAAACGAATTACCGCTTAAGGGGTTTCTAATGCAGTGTAACAGTAAATTTGTCGTTGTTTTTTCTCCTGGTTGCCGTTATCAGTCTTGCACATTTTTTTCCATCCTCTGACGCTCTTGATAACACAATCCTAGAGTTTTTCTTCTATTATTTCAGCAAATAGGATTGTAAAAAATATATATTTGTTGTACTCTCCCATTCACTGCGCTCTGCACTGTAAAATATATCGGTAACACTTTACAATAAGGTTCATTAGTTAATGCATTTACTAACATGAACTAATAATGAACAACACATGTTCAGCATTTATTAATCATAATTGAACATTTACTAATGCATTATTAACATCCAAGTCCATGCTTGTTAGCATTGGTTATTGCACCATGAGTTAACATGAACTAACAATGAACAACTGTATTTTCATTAACTAACGTTTATTAACATTAATAAATACTGTAGTAAATGTATTGTTCATTGTTTGTTCATGTTAGTAAATGCATTAATTAACATTAACTAATAAACCTTATTGTAAAGTGTGACCGATATAGCTGTTAATTAACAGTGTCTGTATTTAGTGCATCACAAGTGTTTTCTGATTGTGAATTGCATAATGGAAATTTCATCTCTGCTCTGTCTAATTTGATTTTGAAAGTTCAACTCTGCAGTTGAACAAAGGGAATTTTATTGACATTTCAGCTGTTTGAGATAATAAAAAGTATAATAAATAATATATAGCGAACTAAGTCTGTAAAGCAACAGAAAATTTACTGGCAGACTATTACAAGGCTTTTTGTACAACACCAACCCAGACAATAAATTACTCTAAACTATAAAAATGTAAAGTCAATTTTTTAACACTATCTGATAAAAGTCTCGTCGCCTATCCAAGTTTCAGTAACAACTAATAATAACTTGACTTCTAGTTGATCATTTGAAATCAGAAGTGGCTTAGATAAAGGCAAAGGCCTGTAGATTACGCTTATTTGACCAAAATAAAATATGATCATGCCTTGATTTTTATTATTTAATTAGGACAGTAAGGTCTGAATTTACTTAGACAAAAGTCTTGTCACTGAACAGAAATAATGTACAGTATAGAATATAAAGCCGTGGTGCAGTGGAAAAAAATGAATATTGTGCATGACTCCCATGAGCTTGGAGGACTGCATCCATACATCTCTGCAATGACTCAAATCACTTATTAATAAAGTCATCTGGAATGGCAAAGAAAGCGTTCTTGCAGGACTCCCAGAGTTCATCAAGATTCCTTTACCATCTTTCAAATGCTCAATAATGTTCATGTCTGGTGACTGGGAAAGCCAATCCTGGATCACCTTGATCTTCTTTGCTTTTAGGAACTTTGATGTGGAGGCTGAAGTGTGAGTAAGGAGCGCTATCCTGCTGAAGAATTTGTCCTCTCCTGTGGTTTGTAATGTAACGGGCAGCACAAATGTTTTGATACCTCAGGCTGTTGATGTTGCTATTCACTCTGGATCTCTCGCACACCCCCATACTGAATATAACCCCAAGCCATGATTTTTTCCTTCACCAAACTTGACTGATTTCTATGAGAATCTTGGGTCCATGAAGTTTCAGTTAGGTCTTCTGCAGTATTTGCGATGATTGGGATGCAGCTCAACAGAGGATTCATCGACCTTCTGTCAATTTTCCAAATGATTAACTAGTTATTTGTTGCTCTTACAACTGGGACTGAGGACAAGATTTTTGTCAGGAAGTGTACGCTTTTAAAGGAAAGATCAAGGTCCCATAATAAAATTAAAAGCATAAATAACTGAAATTTTTTTATAACAAAATATGAAAAACTGTTAATTTACAAATCTTTAAAACTTTTTTTCATTGTCAAACTTGTACAATAAAAACTAAATAATATGACAATATTTTAAGTGTAAATCAATGACAATAACAAGAACAAGAAAATAAACCAACAATGGGGGTTTGCATGAATTAAAGCTATTATGTAATTGAAAAAATAAATAAAATTGACAATGATTTATGTGGCGTAGGATGCCATAATGTGTCAAAAACATTTTTGTTCGCTTTTCTTGTTTTTAATAAATTTAAGAGAAGAAACAAGTCAAATTCAAGAAGAAAAATGAAAATGAAAACAAAAACAAAGGAGATTTTAGCTATTTCTGCTTAAGAATACAAAAATTTGCATTCAGAATAAAAAGATTAACGATGTATTCAAAAGATAAACACTTAGAATTGTCATAGTAAAAAAATAACACCTCTGAGGATGAAAGTGTGTGTTAAATTTGTAAAGTTAAAAGGATAAGAACTTAACCTAAAATCTTTTTGTTTTATTTTTTATTTATTTACAGATATTGTTATTGAAAATAAAATACTGATAAACCCGAAAATGTGAAACGGGTCCATTGATGGCTGGAGGAGTCACCTTGACGGGTCTGTGTCTGTCAGGCTGTGTGATGCGTAGGTAAATGAGTCCGGCCACAGACAGACCCACAAACAGCCAGTAACTGAAGCTGAAGTAGTTGATGAGTTGAAACACGTCTTCCACACACAGGAAGACCAGACCCATCACACACTGCAGCACAAACACATACAAACACAATTTCTGTGGATGTAAGTCTTACGATGACAAAATGAGCTCTTTAATTTTAAAAGAAAATATGTCTAGGCCTTGTGTTTTTTTTTTTACTGGAACAATATCTTCAATAATGTAAACTGGACTGAAGGTCATTACCTCAAAGATTTTAGGCTAAAGAGATGTTTTTTTCAATGCTTTAATAAAACTATTTCTAATTAATTTTGAGTTAAGTTTTGCTAATATAATCTGCATTTTTGGATTAATGTTGAACCTTTGATTGCTCATATTATTTTAAAAACCTTTTCCTTCTCTTATAAACCTGATTATGTTAAGGATCGATCTTTAAAAGTTGCTGGTTTCAGTATAAACTTTATGCTATGATTATGTACATTTCACATACTCAAATACAAGTTTGCTCTCTTCATAGTGCTAGAAAAAAAGAGATTTTTTTTCATTTAGTTTTTCATTGCAGTTTCCAAATTCACATACAGATCTGGTTTTCCACAATGTATTCACAAAACAATCAAAGATTGGATTCCCAAAATTGTAGAAATAAATAAAATGATAAAATACAAAAAATTCAATTAATGAAAATGGAAGTTACATTAATGATTTAAGGACATTATAAGAAACAAGAAAATCAATACACTTAATTGTTTTGTATATCATCAAAAATGAAACAGATAAAATTAACTTGTTGCCTTTCAATTGTGTACTTTTTTGTCATATTGTAGCACCCAGTTTTTTTAATTACCTAAACTATGTACATATGGAACTACGAGGATGCTACTTTTAGGATCTTAAATGTATAATATTTAAAATAGCTAGTGTTCTTCTTTCTATCTTTCTGTTATGTTTTCTTTTATTACTAGAAATAATACACAAAATAAACAAAATAAATTTCACGTCTTTCTAACTATTCATTCATTCTATAATAAATCTGGTCTTAATGGCAGAATAAATTCTACCCATTTTCTCCATGTCTCATTAAACTCCTCAGTCTGTAAACGACGGTTCATTGTTAGCCTCTCCATCTTACAGATTTCATAAATTATGTCAAACCAGTCACTAATTTGAGGTATTTCAAGCTGTAACCATTTTTTTGGTTATAGCTTTTTTACAGGCTATCAGCAAAATTTTCAGCAGTTTTTCTTTTTTTGTCAGATTTTTCTTGTAACATAGGATTTTTTAGGCCTAAGTATAGAGTTGAGAAAGAAAAATTGATGGGGATATGGAATATATTTTCTAAACATTTAGGAATTTCAAAATGCCTGAATTTTTAAACATTTCCAGAAAATATGTGAATAGAAAAAAAAGAGATTTAAATGTTTATAAAATATAATATTTCTGTACTAAGAGTCCATTTAATAACTTTTGTCAATATCTCAATTAAAAAAGATACATATTTGTATGTATATTGATAATAATGTCCCCTCTCCTTTTTATTATTATTAAGGAATGTGTTGAGTTTGTTGTTTAACCCTTTAACTGCCCCACCAAGAAAACTAATGTTAACTAACTAAAAATCCCAGTGTCACTACTTTCACTTTTTTTTGTCAACACATCCAAAAATTACTAAAATATCAACCTCTACCAAATGGTTGAGATGTCAGTTTATGGTAAAAGTACAGAAATAAATACATTTACTATAAAAAAAAATCTGAAAATATGTAGTGTAAGACCAATTTATTTAAAAACATAATCAAAATTAAACATTTTTAAACACTAATATATGCCATGTGATGTAATGTAATGTGTATTTATATAGCGCATTTATTGTATATGGCCATACACCCAAAGTGCTTCACAATCAGGAGGGGGGTTTCTCCACACCACCAGTGACAGTGATAGAGCCAATTCAGCAGATAGGGATGATTGGGAGGCCATAATGGTTAAAGGCAGAGAGGGAATTTGTCCAGGACATCAGGGTTACAACCCTCCTCTTTACGAGAAATGCCTTCGGTGATTCTCATTTAACATGTTTTCTTTTTTTCTTAAGTTTGCAATAAAACCAAAATAAAAGTTATTATTGTTATTTTTTGTAAACCAACAACGCTGTGTGTAAACCATTAATTAAAACAGTCATTCTTTAAATGACTTTAACAGTCACTAATAAAAACAGTTAAAACATGGTCAAACTATTAGCTAGAGCGGGCAGTCAAAGAGTTAATGAAGCTGTACATGATGGTTCTTGTTAAAGCAAAAAACAAAACAAACATACAAACACTGTTTATCATCTGACCTGACGAGGGCGCAGTTGCACATTTAATGCGCCTGAAGGGTAGCCGGTTCTAACTTGGAGTGAGAATTTGTGCCCCGCCCCTATTTATTTATAAATATATATTTTAATAAATTATTATTATTATTATTATTATTATTATTATTATTATTATTATAAATAACAGAAATCGATTTTGAATGAAACGGGAAAACACTATAAAACAGCTGGAGGGATATGCTAAGATCATTTACAAAAATCATTATACAACGAACTCACTTCATGTTCCTTAACAAGAATTAAAAGAGAAAAGAACATTTAAATTAAAGATAATATAATAATAAAAAAGAGGTTGGGACATATATCATATACTGTACATACAATTATATATATATATACATATATATATATATATATATATATATATATATATATATAAACAAAAGTTATTAGACGCACTTTTAGTACAGAAAAATCCATGTATACTAACATTTTATGCAATAATGTTAAAGAAGGAGCATGTATTAACTGTTTTAGTCATCACTTTTATAATTTTAATCTCTGACTGTTTGGCTAATGACTGTTTTAATTAATAATTTACACACGCAGCGTTGTTGTTGATTTACAAAATGATCAAACAAATATAATCCTGTTGCAATACTACACTTGATTTTGGTTTTATTGTAAAATAAAACAAGAAAACATGTTAAATGAGAATATGGCATATATAAGTGTTCAAAAATGTTTTATTTTGATTATGTTTTGGTGTTACACTTCATATTTTCAGATTTTTCATAGTATATGTATTAATTCCGGTGCTTTTACCGACATATCGAACATTTGCAGAGGCTGATATTTTAGAAATTAGAGGATGTGTTGAAACAAAAATGCAATGAGTGTGTTAACTAGTGACATTAGGAGTTGAGAAATGCAATCCAAACATTTTTTTATTGGTGGTGCAGTTAAAAGGGTTAAACAAAAAAAAACTCACTTGTTTATATTTATACACATTTATATTCATGTGCAGTTTCATTACACAAGAAACTCACTTCACATTCCTTAACAAGAAGAGAAAGACAAAGAGAAAAGAAAAATTAAATAAATAAAAACAATAAAAAAGCAGAGGTGACATTATTATTAATATACATAAAAATATATAATACTTTTTTTCTAATTTAGTTATTAACAAAATAATTTATTTTAATAACTTTAAATTAATTATTTTTATCTCTTTTTTTCTAGCACCATGAAGAGAGTGTATTTGTGTATGTAAAATGTACATAATAATAGCATAAAGTTTATAAACGCAAAAGTTTTTAAAATATTATGAGAAATCAAACTTCAACATCAATCCAAACATGCAGATTATATTAGCAAGACCAAAATAAATGTGAAATAATAACTTTAAGACTTATTTTTTAATGAAAACATTTTGAGGTAATGACCTTAAGTCCAGTTCACATTATTAAAGATACTGTGTAGATAGTGTTTATTTATTTATTTATTTATTTATTGTTATACATCAAATACAGCTGGGAAGAAATATTTTGTAGGGCTGATTTTTCTGCGTGAGAAAATGGACGTGTGGTGTGAGAGCGTGAGAATACTCTCAATTGTGTGACTCTCACGCATGGCAGCCCCGTATAAAAATGACCTCATCATTTCCACTCACTCATGTGAACTCGCACATTCATTTCTTTTTTTTTATCTTCAATTGAACAACACAAAACAAGATATTCTGAAGAATGTTTACATCCATAGCGCACTTAGGAAAAAGTATTTTGCTGTTTGTTCAAACTGCTCAAAAAATAAAGGGAACACTTAAACAACACAATGTAATTCCAAGTGTTCCTGTTATTTTTTTAGAAACATATTTCTGATAATAGTATCTCTTAAAAGGGTGGTCCACTATGATATCATATTTTAAACTTAAGTTGATGTGTATAAACAACATCTCTGAATGTAATATGCTCAAAGTTCAATGGACAGGGAGACTTTGACGGTCCATGCGCAAACGCCATGTCATGCTAACACCATGTCATGCTAACTCTACCAACTATTTGTATCATCGTGGATAATATAAACCAATTACAACTCTTTAAAAAAGACACTTACATTGAAAAGGAGTGCTGGTACAGGAGTGTACCGCTCAGTGTGGATCAGACTTAAGCTGATGGGAAGGTGGCCTTCTCTCGCCCCAACAAAAAACAACCTAACACCCAGAACAGAACATACAAGACGCAAATATCAACATTTGAAAGCCTTCATCGATTAAAACTGAACCAGAACATTACCTGGAGGCGGCAATGATGGAAGCGTTGAGTCCTCCATAGCAAGACATGGCCACGGCAATTGGGACGATCCAATTTATAGGCCCAAGCACTTGATTTCCAAATGTCTACAGATTGGGACAGAAGCTGAAGGTTTAATTAAATGGCTTTGCAGTCAATACACTGAACGCATACAGAATAAACACTGCGTATTTGATACTCTGAAAGACTCTTACTACAGCCACTGCATCACTACCCATGAAAGAAGGCATGTCCAGAACTGCGTAGTACGCCACATTGGTCAGCAGGTAGATGATGGTCACGATTGGCATGGAGACGGCTATAGCGATGGGCAGATTCCTGTCAATGATCAAGGAGAACATTTAAAGAATAGCTCACCCAAAAACTACAATTCTGTCATCATTTGCTCACCATTGACTTGTCAATTTGAGTTTTAACAAAAGATTATATTTTTGAATATGTTGAATATGTTGATAACATTTAACCATTGACATGAATAGACGGGGAAACAAATTCTATGAAAGTCAATGCCTGGTGGTAGAGGTCTGCATTCCCGTGGGCGCTGCGGGACCCGACCAGATTTCTGCGGCACAGGAATAAATTTCCAAATAAATCACGGGAGCGGTCGGTAACAGGTTTAATTTGGGACGGGAGAGGGCTGTCTAGCAACATCACTCCCGACACCCGAGCGAGCACGCGTATGTATGTGTGTAAATGAAATATTGTGCGATATTGTGTTTAGCTTGTTTTTTGCTGTGTGTGTGTGTGTGTGTGTGTGTGTGAGAGAGAGAGCTTTGCCTGTGTGTGTGCTTGGTGCTTATGTGTGTGTGTGTGTGTTAATGCGCACGCGCGAATGAGAGAGAGAGAGAGCTTTGCCTGTGTGTGTGCTTGGTGCTTATGTGTGTGTGTTAGTGCGCGTGCGAATGAGAGAGAGAGAGCTTTGTCTGTGTATGTGTGCTTGGTGCTGTGTGTGTTTGTGTTTGTACAGACAGCTTGTTATAGGCTGTCTGGACTGTATAGCTGGGTGATTTTCGGTTTTGTCCCCCCCCCCTCTTTAGCAGGATCGGGCGCGGCGGGTAGAAAACGGGGCGGGTCGGGCAGCGGGACAACAAATGCTTAATATATGTGGGGGCGGTCGGGTTCGGGCTAAAACCTGGTGGGTGCGGGCGGGAGCGGGATTCAAAATTTAGTCCCACGTAGATCTCTACCTAGTGGTTTCCAACATTCTTCAAAATATCTACTTATTATATGTTTGGCGAAGTAGCACTTTAAAAACTAGAGTATTTGGAAAGTCCTTTCAGCTAAGTAAATAGATGAATATGTAAACGCAGAGGAAGAAATAAGCTTAAGAATTTTGCTATTCGCTTTAGCTATTGTAAAAATGTTATGTGTCCCTAATATGCTATCACAGAATTTAATAATAATAATAAATATTAAATAATAATAATAATAATAATAATGGGGAGACGCGGTGGCGCAGTAGGTAGTGCTGTCGCTTCACAGCAAGAAGGTCTCTGGTTAGAGCCTCGGCAGGGTCAGTTGGCATTTCTGTGTAGAGTTTGCATGTTCTCCCTGCGTTCATGTGGGTTTCCTCTGGGTGCTCCGGTTTCCCCCCACAATTTCGAAGACATGCGGTACAGGTGAATTGGGTAAGCTAAAATTGTCCGCAGTACAGTATAAGTGTGTGAATGAGAGTGTATGGGTGTTTCCCCGTGATGGGTTGCAGCTGGAAGGGCATCCGCTGCGTAAAACATATGCTGGATAAGTTGGCGGTTCATTCAGCTGTGCCGACCCCAGATTAATAAAGGGACTAAGCTGAAAAACTGGCGACGCAGTGGCGCAGTAGGTAGTGCTGTCGCCTCACAGCAAGAAGGTTGTTGGTTCAAGCCTCGGCTGGGTCAGTTGGTGATTCTGTGTACAGTTAGCATGTTCTTCATGTGTTCGCGTGGGTTTCCTCCGGTCGCTCCGGTTTCCCCCACAGTTCAAAAGACATTCGGTAC